CCCTTCATCAATAATATTTATAAATTTATAATAAATCATTCCGCAAGTCAGAATGATTTTAGCATAAAATCATTAAATTCAGCGCACGAAATAATAATAATCTAATATATAATGAAATTCTATTAACGAATATAATATCTCTATATACGATTCCCTCAACATCTAATTTTCTATTTTCAGAGCATACTATAAATACCTTCCTATATAAAAATAATCATTATAATATCGCATTTTTCTTTTCTCTATTACATCCGATTTCAATTCAAATCGATATTCCTTCAAATAATATTATCCAATCATATTGAATATCTAAATTATTATTCTCTAATTGAATAATATTTTCGGTTATATTATATATCTAAATTATTATTCTTTCATTTTCATATTATTCCAAAATCGATTTCCTATATTCGTAAGATTTTTCTTTTCGATAAATATTTCAATTCATATGTTTAGATTTTTAATATCATTTCTATTATATGAATCTAGAAAATATTTAAAATTATTTTCGAAAAGAAGAGATAATCAAAAATTATTTGAGAAAATAAGGAAAAAATCAAGTCAAAAAAAAATCGAATTTAGATTTCTATATGAAATATAAAAAATTCTATTCTATCTTTGAAATAAAAATTTTCATAAGAAAAAATTATCAACGCCTGGCCGACAAATTCCATGCATTTTCTATAGGATTACGTATCTGAAGATTTGTCCTCTTTGCATTGAGCCCACAAAGCTTGGAACGCGTCTCGGGGGCTCGACCAGATGCCCTCGACTGAAGCATTGGAAAAATAGCTGACCCTGCGCACCTGACGCTGAACAGGCACACAGCTGTCGCAGCTGCGATGCCGGCTGCCATCATGATGGACCACACAACCTGAGATCCGAGCGCCTTCTGGCACGAAGTAGCTATATATCTAGACAAAATAAACAAATCGTCGCTTCTAGGCCTTGGGCCTGAAGGACTCTAGGCTTTTCGCTCATCACTCCCATCCATCTCCAAACCCGTGCTTTCAACAGGTTCGGCAGGAGTCGAAGGAACAGAGCGGATTGTGTAGGGTGAGCGGGCTGAGCCAAAAGACAAGCGCGCACCCACTGGGCGCATTGGGCTCATGGAGCCGTCAAACTGGACAAGTGACGTAGGCGAGTAGGGATGCACAGGCCCTGCAAGCTCCTCAAACGCTACCGTGCGCACTTCTGGCACCTCCACAACCTTGTCGACAAACTGGACGTGCGGGACCTCAACCTGCTTCTCCACATATTGGACCTGAACCTGAGGCACATGTCGGAGGCGCTAATCTTAACCTTTGGGACTGAGCTCCTGATTTCCAAATAGCGCTGGATTGTCAAAATTCTAGGTGATCTACGCAAAAAAGGCCACTCACTGCCTTTAAAGGAGTCTCCCACCGCAAATCTGACCCAAGAAATCTTTCATTCCAGGGGCTGTAATTCCAAAAAACCTAAACCCTTAAATCCCAATCTTAGCGTCGACGTGCTCAACAGGAGCGGCACCTGTTTCTGCAGTCTTTGTGCTACATCCACCACCTTCCAGCAGACAAACGGAAACTTCAGCGCTTTAGCTTGAAGTTTATCTAGGCTTTCGGGACGCAGGCAGTTCGAACCCTACAGCAGAAAGCAACAAATACCAATGGAACCTGGCATGTATGTACCCATTCATCATTAAACGGCTCTCAATTTGATAAAAGCCTGTAAGCCTGTAAGAAGTGAGTAGTAGGAGCAGCAGTGATAGTCGCAGACATAGATCTGATAGCAATAAGAGCAGCAGCAGTGCTAGCAGTGGCACTAGCACTACTACTTCTGTGACTACGGCTGCCGCTACCGCTACCGCCTGCACTCTACCGCCTGCGCTGCCGCCACCCTACCACTGCCAATCTACAACAGCTAATGCCACCGCCAGAAAGCTTAACCATTACAATCACCATGGCGTTTTCCTGACCATGAAGACTAGGCGAACCGCTACAATCAACATGGTCTGACAATATGAGGAACTGCCATGTGCAAGTCAAACAACGATTGGAAATCGGCGAAGACGATGCTGGCAGCTCGTTTTTGCACGGCATCGTACACCAGCGCACAGTGTAAACATCAGTGTAAACCATGCGTTATGTTTTGTTTTGTTTGCGCTTCAGGGCTGAGGGCTGGCAACTTCGGTGTAAGGCTCTTCGGGCTTTGCAGCCTGAGTTAGCAAAGGGTCTTTGCCAGTAGCAAAGCACGACCCACACCGCATCACTTACGATTTTAGCAGATGGTTTAGCACGGGTACAATGCACGTCTACTCGTCTGCTAGTGTCTCCACATCTCTAAGAAAATTCCTCAGCACGATAATGGTGGTGAGCAACAGCAACATGCGTTGCCCCCAGCTCACGATCAGCCTGCCCCAACCCTGGCCCTTCACCCAACCCTGCTTGAGGGTGTTGCCCTTCTTACGTGTTGATTCTGGCATTGAGGCCAAGATTTTGCACGGGGCGCTTTGTGGGTGTATCGAGTCTTTGGGGCTATATTGAATATAGGGCTTCAAGTTTAGCGTTCATTGTGAGGGGTTGATGATATGTTGGGTATATTGTGTATTTTGGCTATGCTGAATATGTAGGGTACTGTGAGCGCGTAGGGCATGTTGTCTTGGGGAAAACAGCGGTAAGGGCTGAAGCAACAAAGCCTGAACCACCGCCGCTGTGGTGTCGCCATCTGCAATCATGTTGTTGTACGCCTCCAGGACTTCCGGCGTTGCAGGATGTGGTTTTATAATTAGGCGGACCCCTTATGTAGACAACCAAAAAAAGCCTCTGTAGTAAGGACCCCTAAATTGTTAATCGGAAACTGTCGTTAAGATGCCGTTGAAGACTAAGGATTTAGGGTTTCATACCATGTAACTGTGCCAAGCCCAGCATGGAAATGGCTTTACGCCTACAGCCCCAAGAGGAAGTGCCCAAATCCTACCCAACCCCCCACCCCCCACTCCCAGCCCCGCACAAGACGTTGAGACTTGCAGCTTTGAAGTTCCTGGCCCTTGCGGGTTGTCTGGAAGCCACCCGCTTCGGCAGGAAGCTTTATGGGCCCTTGGCTTAGGTAGCCCCTCTGGGACTGCAGAATAGCCGCACAGTGACCCCTTCTACCTAGCGTCAGATAACCTCTTAGCTAACCAAAGGTCCGTTAAAGCAGGGAACAAGGTGGGGGGCTTTCGGTTTAAGGCAAGTGCAAAGGGTCTCAGGCAAAATTCTACTAGGTCCTTTGACAAAAATTGAAGTCAGCAGCTTATGTTCTTTCCTACTGAAAAGCCGACCCTCCTTCCAAGAATGCGTATTGTCGTCCTGATAGGGGTCACTGGAAATATTTCCCTCGAGGCAATTTTAATCAACGGGAATGTGATCATGCGGTGGTCATAGTATGTAGGAGGTTGGAATTGCATTGACAGCTCTGGCATTTGCAAGTTAGCTTCATAAATCTGCCAGTGGAGGTCACATGCAGGGTGAAGAGTGAGATGAATTCTGACTTCCTCACTCGCATGCTCCAAACATCACTGCTGAAGTTCGATACACTCAGGCTTGGCATGGCGAATTCACATCCGGTGACATTAGATATTGATCCTCTCCGAACCATTAGTTCTGCGTAAGCTCTTCTGCAAGCTTGAGCTCCAGCCAACTTGATCTAAGCTACCCTCTTGGAAACATCGCGTGGCAAAGGAAGCTAGGCGAGAATTCGCAGGCCAACAACCCCGGCTCACAGGTAAACGTGCCTGAACTTGAGCCTTCGGTGCACTAGCCATGGCGTGCACACGAGCTAGCCCTACCAAGCAAATCTTTCTGCCACGATATGCAGTGGATTTGATCTACCTGAGTGCGTCAAATGCACACGCAGATCAGTCCGCTGAAGCTGTATCTTCAGCACAAGCGGATTGGGGAGGATCTACCAGTCCAACAGCCACAGTTCAGAGGCAGCACGTAGCAGCATAATACAAACGCGCAAACGTTCACACAGCACGTACCTGGAATCCGACATCCAACCATCCGCACTGTGAGAGCTCATCCTAGAACACTCATCTCTGTGTTCTTCATGTTTACGGAAATTCATCCAAATTCAAAACAAGGCACGCCTTTTTATGAACCTCAAGCACGGAACATGCGAGTGTCTGTGCTTCTAGACTGCTGCGAGAACTCCTCCCAGAACCAATTGTGGATATGTGCTGCTGAGATTGCGGCCAGTGCCAGCTAGTTACTTCAGTGGCCTGAGGTGAGCTCTTCTTCAGCATTCCAGATCATTAAGCAAATTGCAATGTGAAGTTACGGAGTTTGTCTATTCCAAGCTCCATCGGGGATGGAAGAAAACAGCAGCTTGGGTAGATACCTGGCACGGCTTGTTAAAAGGTGTCAGCTGGACTGCCCCAGCCAGCTGTGTCTCCAGCGAACCCCGCCATTGCGGCAAATGCGGCAATATCGGCTTCACCCGGCTCAAGCTCACAATGGATGCAAGTGGACGCAAGTCACGGTCATGGGATATTGTGTTTGGAGACTCGGCTTGCACCAAAGAATGTTGATCTCGGGTCTTTCATGAAAGGCTTCATCCATGTTGCTAAACAGAAGCTCTCAAATGGAAGAAGTTGTTGGGGTGACCTACCAGAAAACTGAAGATCAGAGAATAACGCATAGATAAAAAAAAATGCTTTTGCCAAATGTGGACAGCCACAGGGATATCGGCAGTCGCGAACCTCGTAACTGTCGTTGCCTTGAGCTCCTCGGATCCTCTTGGAGTTTGAAAAGTGTCAACAGTCACGGGATTAATCGTGGGGGCCGGGGCCGCCATCTTCATTACTGCCGTTACTGTCGTCGCCCCTCGGATCCTCTTGGAGTTAGGCGTGTCAAAATGCACAGGAATCGCGGGGCCGGGGTCGCGATCCTCGTAAGGCTTACGGCAAGCATTGCCATGACATGATGCTTCTTTGTAAAAGTAAGCATGGATAGAACAAAGCGGGGGCCCCAGCCCGCAGTCCCTCTTTGCAACCAATCTGATCCGCACAACCTTCCCTTACTGAGAACATGGGGATGACATTATGATTCTTTTTGATTGCGGGCACTGGTGGCCTTAAAAAGGTGGGGAGGGACCTCCCCAGTTTGCACACAGAATGATCCGCATAATCCTCCCTGACTGCATAACAGCGGACACATGTATGTCTTGATGTCCGATACAGGTTCCCCCCAGGCAGGTTACATTGCAGGGAGTGATGGTTTGAGAGTTTGCCAGCCAACATCTGCGTTTTAGGCTTTAGGGCTTGCAAGCCAACATCTCTTTTCAGGGCTCAGGGTTTGCCAGCCATTCTTCTCTTCGAGCTCAAGATTTGCCGGTTCTTTCTTGGTGCTGCTTGCTGTTTCTTGCTTTTGGTCTTCTTCTTTCTTGCTTTCCTTGCTACTTTCTTTTTTGTCTCTCTCCAAGAAGATCCGAGGGTCTAAAAGCGACAACAACTAACGAATCACAACCCCGACTTCGATCCTCTGCGACTGTCGACATTATGACATTTGGCTAGCGGATGTTTGATCATGTGTTACTGGTTAGAATTCATCTTGTTTCTGACTATAATTCAGTTTTTTGATACACATCCCCAGAAGTTCTATCTAAATCAGAGACATGCCTTTACCAAGAGAGGCTGTCAATTGACTTATTTAGCTGGCGAAAGCTTGCAGGCCTTGCTCCGCCTCACTTCCGCGGTGAATGTCGACGGGTGAACCGAAATTTCATGCGAAGGAGATCATGTACAGCATCTGTTGCCCACAGACAGAGGCTTGCAACTGCAAGGTTCCTAGATGGAGCAAAGGAAGGGCTTGATGCTCCACATCTCTCATCCGAAAGAAGACACAGAACTTAAAAGGAACCGGTTGTAAATCAAAGTTGATGTCCAGTTTTCCGTGTAATGGACAATGCTGGTGTGTGGTGAAGGTGGCAGCAGTAGCTGCAACAGTGGCCAGGAAAGTGCCGCAGTTACAATAAGCAACTACTAGTAGCCTGAATGGGAACACATGTATTGTACTGAATAGCAATAACAACCGACTGAGCAAAGCGAAATTATTGACTTCCTTCCGAGCAAGAGCTTTGACTCCGCAGTGCCTCCCTGCCGCGTATTGGACGGCAACAAGAAGCAGCAATGGAAAAGACGCAGCTGCGAAACCAAAGCCATTGCCAGTCAGGGAAATCACGTCATGCTCGCAAGAGGAGGGCTGGCGAAAAGCTGCTTCCAAATCTACCATCAACATGAAAGTAAATGATGCAGGAACTGCCAGGCAAGGAAGTATCTTTTCTGCCTGTGGCATGCAATTGCTCTCCGCGACAGGCTGGGGCCTTGTCACGACGCAACCCTTGCACCCTTCCCCCCTCAGAGCGTAATCGCTCCAATCACCGCTTCCAAACAATTGCAAGCAGACGAAGAATTGAAAAACCCGGCTTTGATGTCCAGGGCTACGAATCTCTTTGCAGAAGTCTGCTGCCCTTGGCTTCTTGGGCATCTGTGTCCGCTCGAGATTCATGGCCCCTGCAGACTCAAACCAGTTGAGGCAGCTCTGCCCCTGCCAGTGTCGAACAGACAGCACTAACGACGGATCCTCATGCCTTCGCCTAGAGTCACCAGAAGGAGCAGAACGTGCTGCAGCAAGAGCAGTGATTGAAGCTCGCATAGGGCTGCTCCACTGAGTTCGCAAAGTCCACGAGTCAACTGCAAGGCGGCTAACCCACCTAACCTCGAGCAAGTGCCCTCCATGTAATGGTCACTACAGAAGCCCTGCGAGCTCCTGTGCACGCGGGCTTCGCAAGCTATGCTGCGGCTGTCAGCCGTCCCCCCTGCGCTGGGGCCGGTAAGACAGTACTCCTTTTTTTCTAAGACATTCGTGGTTACGTTTTAGGGCTTAGTGCTCAGGCTCTGAGCTGAGATCTAGCGTTTGGCAGGAATCTAGCCCTTTGGGATAGTCAGCTGCTTCTATAGCTAAAGAATAGCTACATGAGAGCAGTAATTACCAGACTACAGGTCCGCAGCATGGTCCCTATTCTTGGGGTTCCCAAATACCTACTATATGCCATGTACAAACCTGCAAACCCAATTCAGGGCCCATAGACAGGACCCAGGAAACAGGTATGGGCCCAAATTTGGGGCATATGGGTAGGACCTTCGCAAGTGAAAAATGTCGGCTGGTATTCTGTTACATGGCATGGCTCTCGTCGTAGAAAGTCACACAATCGCAAAATGCAAAGCCGTATACGCTATGGTGGTAAACGTTTTCCGGTAACTGACTTTCACACGGCATCTAGGCAACATTCCCGTCCTATGCCTTGAACTACAGATGAACAATAAGTGCTGCCTGGCCATGCCAAGGTCAAGCCGTCTTGGCATGTTTGCAACCGTGCTCGTCTAGCTGTCCCGCACTTCCAACGTTGGGTTTGTACAATGCATGGGACTTTGGAACGTCATAGGTAGCAGGCAGCTGGGGGGTATAACTTGAGGTGCAAATGTGCGGTCCTATGGCCACATGAGGGAAAATTTGTCAGCCGCAGCTGTCTGCAATGTATGCCAATGCACCAAGCCAACAGCAGTAGCGCACCGCCGTGATGCAGATCGAGCATGAAGGCCTGCCTCAAGTTAGACGTCCCTGTCGCATCAAGGAGGGTGCGGCGACAACATGTCAGGCTGCGGTCTGACTTTCGGAATCTCTAACAGCTAGACCCTGGACTAAGAGAGAAAAACATGGCCCAACATGTGTGATACTTGTGATGCACCTGTATAGGAGATCTTGTTTGCCTTACTTGCAGCTTTGCCCCTACCGCCAAGCCATCAGGACTTCCTCAGCACCTCCTGGCAGGTTCCCCAAACAATCGAAGGGACGCATTCTTATCAGTCTTATCAGGAGCTTCAGCAAAACTTCAACCAAAGGCCGTGCCAGCTTGGGGATCCTGCGCATCTGCGCCTAACAGCAGCAAGCTCTCAAGCCAAATAATTCCCATCGCAGACGCGGTGATCTAAGGGTTGAGGGCGTCTGGGTCAACTGCCATATGATCCACTTCTCCGCGCCGCGCGGGGCTGAGATTCTCGACTACTTCGGCACAGCCCCAACTGCACATGCGGCAGCTGCAGCTTTGGCGGGTGCGAATTCAATGCTCTGGAATATCTTGTTGGTTCAGGTTTGGGTTGTGCAGCTAGAGCCGCCGATGGGTAAAACACAACAAGTGGCAGACGCAAAAGCAAAATAAGTCTGGAGGGAAGCCTGAACAAAGCCGTCGGTTGTCCATCACAAGACTTTGCAGAAGCCTCCCTCGCTTCTCAAGGACCTTTCCTCGCATGCAGAACAACTGCATCTCTTTCAGAGCCTGCACCTCCGAAGAGACTGCAGCAGACTGTCAGACTGCATCTAATCAGCAGGTCCGAGCACAGTCTAGCCTCACCTGGGCATCGACAGGTCACCTTTCCACATCCCCCACAGGAAGTCCTGCGCGCTGGCTTTGCACTGCAGCCATGCCCAAGTGATTTTGCTAAAGTTTTTCTCAGCCATGGGCCGGAAGAAGTCCGTCGATGACCCGGGATGTCTGGGCCAGGCCCAGCACCTGTCATCATCCTGTACTCTTAGGCCTTCCATCCCAAATCATCTCCACGGCTCAGCTGAATCCGTTTCCGGATCCTACAGGGTTGAGGCCCGACTGAAGCAATTAAGTAACTATGCCAACTATGCGTGACTTCTAGAATACAGCATTCATCCAATGCCGAGGATGCAGTACAAGCATAGCGGTATCAGAGAAATGAGGAACAGACTTCGACTAACCTCAACCCGCCTACCGTAGGGTCCTGCCCATCCCCTCTTAACCTTGTAAACAGTTCACATGGGGTGCCCAAGAGATCCTTCTCAAACAAACAAGTCTCATTGCAACTCGGAACTGGTCACGTTTGGGGGCTGTGCAAGACCTTATCACGCAGATTCATCTCCTGTTGAGATGTAAGAGCTTCTCGAACCACACAGGATCGAGGGGCAAGCAAAAAGGACTGGAGATTCACTGTTCCAATAGCAGGCCCCGCTTCATGCTGTGGTCAAGATGCAGTGTTGGGTCGCCGCGGTGAGCTTTTTACTGACGGCTGCCCACTGAAAGTCAAGACTGCGGAAATCCAGAATCACACCATGAAGGATGCCCAAAGGTCAAGTTAAGAAACATGGAGTTTGATCTCGCTCGTGAAACTTCCGGTGCATACCAAAGCACGTAGCTGGAGCTACACACTACTAAGAGAAGCTGCTGCCCTAGTGGGTATGGGCAGGTACGGTGATGGCTGGAACTTTTGATACAGATTGGGTATGTCAGTGAGGCCGAGGATCTCTCCGCGGCTGTGAAGCATCGGTATCGAGTTTCACACGATCTGTCGAAGCCCTGGGAAGAGAGGTGTGAGGAGGCGACCACTGGTACTTCCTTAGCCGGCCTTCTGTTTTACCCTGAGGAATCCCCTTCGGAAACAAGGTCTCCTCCTTCCCGAGCTATGTCTGCGCAGCATATACACAGAAGTCTACACAGAGGCGCGAGCTGCAAGATCCACAGTTCCATAGAAATAGCATGGGATGCTTCGTCGGAGACTGAGGGAATGCTTCTAACATACTGACTCCGTTGGCCATCGCAATGCTTTTAGAAGCTTATGCTGGATACACATCGTGACTAGTGCCTTCCAAGTCCAATGGCTGCCTATCGTCAACAGTCTCCTGTCAAGCCACCCACAGATTTCCTCTGAAACAGTTCAAACCTACCGAGAGCGTACAGTTGCAATAGTAGTAGCACAAATGGGCAAGTGCTTGTTGCTCACATGTTTCCTGTGAATAGAAATGTCACTGCAGGCTGTAGAAGTTTCCAAGTGTTGGTCCTCGTCTCAATAAGCTGTTCAGTACTGGATAAGTCATGTGCCACTGCTTGTGCACACTACAGGAGTCCGAACCTGATCTTTCCAGCCTCAGATGCTGAAGATCGACGACTGAGGCATGGCAACCCTGCGGGTAAAGAGACTAAGTGTACCACTAAGCTACTGAGTAGCACAACCGTGCAAGCTGCGTGGATAGGCTGAGGCTGAGACCGTGCTTCTCTTCCCTTCCTGTTGGTTGTTTTGGCACAGGACCCGTCTGCATGAGGCATTGCGGCCAAGCAACTACATGCCCTTCTACCAGCCCCCTCGGCCGGCGCCTCGGAAAGCAAACTGGATCACTTGGACATGCTTTGGCCGTCTGTTGTTTTGCAGAACCGTGTTGCTGAGGCTCATCATGCACACCTGCATCAACGATGTTGTTCCTCTCACTGCTTTACACGCTTCCAACCTTCAGCCCTCTTCCCATTTGAGGGCATTCACAATTGACTGCAGGCGACTTGCAAAAGCATGTGAAGCCAAATCTGCATGCGGTAGGGTGAACCAGTGGCCCTCCTTTCAGTCAATGCCCGGGGCCCAGGCCGACTTCTTCGCGGGCGCGGCGTTTGAGCTTTGCGGCCTTACTACACATTTCTTTGCCGCTTCCGTTCATATTGAAGAACACAGCGAAGCTGCATTTGGAGAGAACAGGCTATCTCGGCCTTGTGCGTAGCAAACGCCCGTACCAAAGCGGGTGGCCCCTAATTTGAAGTCCAAAAAGTGCTTCTTTAATGATCCTACCACCCCAAGCATCAACCGCCTGCATCATGCTCCATAGAAGCCCTCCAGAGGATGCAGTACAGACGGCCGCAACTTTTGTGGGTTGTTCACCACTCCTTTTCCTTCAAGTGGGTCTTTTGCATGCCTGTTCTGTAACTTTATAATGGAAGCTGGCTATGACTTTGGAACACTTACAGTATGCCCCTACTTTTGGCTAAAAACCTCCAAGTAGGCCAAGGCCCAAGCTGGGGCAGGATGATCTGGCATGGGAAAGGGCGTGGCCTGGCTCAGCACCAGAACCCTCAAGAAATTCACCAAGGGAGCTTGGGCGGGGCTTTTAATATGTTGTCTGGGTAGGGATCACAGCTAAGCTCCAATGCCATGCAAGGCTGGTCTTCTGCCTCTCCATGTTCATCTAGCAGCAGCGGCATCCATTCTGGATGGTTGACAAGCTCGTTCATGACGGGTCCTAGCGCCACATCCCCAAGTCTGGCAAAGAATGATACTGCCAACAGCCAGCGGCTTGCACCATGAAGCCTTTACAAAACAGCAGTCCTGTTCGCAAGCGCCGGACGTTCTCCTGACAGGCTCCCAGAGCATGTGACGAGAATCACTGAAGCCAGTTCAACCCGCCCAAAGGCCTCGAGGCCCTGAACGCGAGCAGGTGTCACGCCAGCAACCTTCTTGGAGTTCAACCTGCGCGGAGGGTCTGCCAACTTGGAGGTGCCGGTCCCACAACCCAAATCCAAACTGTGCAAGCAGCACGCTGAGCAGCTCACCCAGGGAGGCACTTGCGGACGTCGACCCCATCATACCTTCAGTACACAGCACTCGACGTAGGTCCCGGCTAATGTTGAGCAAAAGCAATTCAGGCAGTGACTTCGCAATGAACTCGTCACAAGCTGCTGATGTACGGAAATTGATGAAGCCATAGCCAACATTACACCTGGCAAACGCATGCGTGACTTCTGCAAGCAACTTCCGCGGCAATTTCTTTGTTCCTACCAAGCTGGAATGCACACTGACCGTAAGCCATGTCGGGAGCACTTGTTCTTAAAATCAATGGGCAAATAAACAAAATCAAATCGCCCTTTGAAATCCTCGCAGTGGCGTTGCAGCTCTGCTTCTGACAGACGTCCGCGCATGCTCGCGGAGTCGCGGAGCAGGTTGCAAAGAGATTTTGAAAGAGGTCCTGGTTGAGCTGCTTCACGAGCATCTCGCGGGTGTACTTGTTGGGGATATTCCGCAGCATCACGGTTGTGTAGCCTCAGCAGACAAAAACAAGCTCAGATCCTCCATGGACTGAGGCTTCCTCCCTTCATTTTCAACTACAGGCCGTTCACAGGCTCTTGCCTGAGTCGCCCGGAACAGCTTGCGCGCCTGGGCTGTCTGAACCTTGGAACCCAGCAGAAGACCACACATCAAAATGTGTCGAAGATCATTGCAGTTCCACAACGATGAAGATGTCTGAAGAACGGCTTCATACTCGGCATCGCACTGCTGCTGGCAGTGGTGCTACCTGTCATGCACCAACATCGTCAACCCCACGAACAGCCAGGGCCAAGTTCTGGGAGCGGCATCAGGTCGGGATGAATGCCACTCCCGCCAAATTCAGATGGATGAAGCTATGGCTGCTTTCATTGAGCGATAGTCAAACCTCTGCACTACACACACGATCTTCAAAATGCCGAGAGTATCACACTCTCTTGAACGCTCGGAGCGTACCACTCAAGGAAAAACAGCCTCCCTACACTTTCCCAGCATTAGGCCTTCTGCTTGCGGCTCGTCTGCTGTCGCAGCTGTTGGCGCCTCCTCCTGAATGCCGTAGCACGAATCAATAAAACTTTCAGCCCAAGTGCTCATCTGCCTGCACAGTGGGCACAGGCTCGGAGCGCTCTTCTCGGTGCCAGCGCCTAAGGGGTAATATGCGCATATTGTGACTGCGTGACTGCATCTCGGGACTTTCCCAGGCTGACAAGCTCAAACAGAACATCAAGACCCGCGCGACCAATCTTCGTTCCAGGCTTCTGCCTGCAGAATCCAGAGCCACGCATGGGAATGCAGGTACAAGCACAGGAAACCTTCTAGTACTACTCCTCCCTAATCCTGCTGCCGTCACCACCGCAGCCGCCACCATCACAATCAACACCGCCACCACGACCACAACGCCCAGCATCGCAACACTGCCATCCGACGGCAACTCTGCGCTTCAGCCCGCCTGTCGCTGCGAACGCCGGGAGCCACGGGCCCCCTTCCTCCAGGCCAGCAGCTACTTGGGAAGCAATGATGATTGCAAAAACTCGAGGCACAATACAAGCAACACCGCAACTGTCATATGAAGATTACAAGAAGAAGAAAAAGCAGTTGCTGCCGCCGCAGCAGACAGAGCTTGCAGAAACAATCACACATCTGGAACGGCAGGTCCAGGAAGTCTGCCATACAGACTATGGTCATACATTGTCATGGAATGGCATCTAAAACACGGACCACTCCCGCAGCTCAAATTGACCTAAAGTGCTTGCTGTCCTCCAGCCATAATCCCAGTTATCCCAGGAATTGGCGCCTAGCAGCAGGCGCAGGTGTTTTCCGGCTGGCACGACGACTGCGATCATGCGAAACAAATGTGACGACTGCTATTCAAACCAGTCTGGGGAGTTGGCTGTCATCCTTGTGACGGTGGTGGTCCTCCCAGCCTTGTGGATGAAGGCCAGGTCATTTTAACAGTCTAACCGCAATGATCTATGATCTAAGTATGCAAGACGTGTACAGCTGTAGGCCACTCTATGGAAACAGCTCTGTGCAAGAGACTGGCTTGAAGCAGCGCAATGGCCGAGCTGGGGAGCCGACCATCTGAGTCTCGCCAGCTCTTGCGGCTGTGCCTGGCCACATGTTTTGAGGACTCAAACCATCGCGCTTACAAAAAGAAGGCCACCCTGCCTAGAGCTCCGTGTGTCCTCCCAAGATGAGGGGCCATCCTCAGTAGAGGGGCAGAGGCCTCCATGGCCCTGGCGTCCGTTGTCTGGGTCGCGGACTGTTCCCTTTTCCCCCCATTCCTTGCTTTCTGCTGCTTCCTGCCAGCATGGAGACAGCCATTGCCATCACACATGAAGCAATCAATGACTAATGGCAGCACAACAAGGAATCAGTAATGCGTACAAATGCGGAAGTCTGACAAAAGTCATTGGCATTGAGCTGCGCACTCTCGTGCTCCAGCAGTTTTTAATGTTCATATAACCACCTACTGAGAACCTCGCTCCCTTCTTCCAAATCTACTTTATCTTCCTAGCTCGCTTAGGCTTTGTAGCAGAACTCCTTGAACACAGTGCAAGTAGTGATGTGTTCTTTTCTTCGTGTTAGGTAGGAACTCTCAGCAAGCCGAATTCTACTTTGCGTTGCTACGTGTTCCTACTGCAAAACGCCTCTGAAATGGATGTCGCTCTGGAAGGGTGTGGTATCCGAGGATTAGCCCCTGACTGATTGAAAGGCCCGCTCTGCTGAAGATTTGAAACATGTGCAATTCGTTGTCCCAATCTCCTTCGGCTCGGCTGTCATGGCCTGCGAGGCAACTGGCAAGTGTGGTTGCGACGGCAAAGCAAACCGAGGAGTTATGATGCTCACGCTGGTGGAAACAAGAATAGGACTCACTACCACAAGCAAAGAAATAGCGAGAGCAAAAAAAGACCTTCCTGAACTGCGTAGTTGCGGCTTCAACAACGTTGCCGTTCTAAACTTGCGTCAGATGAACGGTGTTGGAAGCATCATCAACAATCCCTTGACGATTCCACAACATATCAGCGAGCACCTTGCACACTCCCTGTGAAGCCAGTAAGTCACGTGGACGTTTTAGGGAGCACGTTTCCCTTGACGGCAACCGCAGCCTCAACTTAGCATGTCCTTTTTGCCCCTCTTGGTTGGAGATGAATGATGCTTCTTCAACAGTTCCAAACTCCTCGACACCTCATCTTTTCTAGCCAGACACCATATCGATTGAAAGCCTGGGGGTGCGACCTTGCCAACCTCGCGAACATGCAAACACTTAAATTCCCCCTTCTGCCACTTGTAAAACCAATCACATACTGCATTAAGCGCTAACGGCACTAGCGATCAACAAACACCACCACCGTGATGGTGCGAGCGGCAGCGGCGACTGCTGTTGCCGCTGCCACTGCCGCCAGCACCACCAGCACCACCAGCACCAGCACCACAACCACCACCAGCACCGCCACCACCAGCGCCACCGCCGCCATCACCACCACCAGCAGCAGCACTGCCAGCAGCAGCACTGCCAGCAGCAGCACTGCCAGCAGCAGCAGCAGCAGCAGCACCACCACCACCACCACGGGAAGCCCTACTACGAACACAACCACTGCCACTACCACGGGGTAGCTACGCACAGCCAACGGCATTCTTTAACCAATCATCCTCCCTGAACCTATACTACTACAACGATGACTGCCACGACTACCACGACTACACTACTGCTGCTGCTGCTGCTGCTGCTGCTACTACTACTACTACTACTACTACTAATGCTACTGCTACTGCTACTGCTACTACTACTACTACTACTACTGCTACTACTACTACTACTACTACGACCACCACCACCACCGCCGCCGCCGCCGCCGCCGACGCCGCCATCACCACCACCATCACCACCACCACCACCACCACCACCACCACCACCACCACCACCAGCACCACCACCACCATGACTACTACTGCTGCAACGACGAAAAGTTAGCATACAAAGGATATTAACAATGCTACTGGAGCAGCAGGAACGTTGACAACGATGTGAACAAACGACTATTTATGCGAATGGAAAATATAGACAGACTTCACGACTTCACATAGGCCAAAGGCACTCCCGCAAAGATTTTCATGTAAATAGCCGCTGAGAGTGCTGTTTGCAATCAATAGTCTTCGCCTGTTATATTTTGCTATACTACAAACCTTCGACCAACCTAGCACCCAAGACACCAGGATCACCAACAAGGCCTGCATGCGCGCACAGCTCTGGAATATCCGCATGAATCAAACCCTGGACCCCAAACCCTTTTGGGGGCTTTGTGCAAAAGCCAAACAACCCCCCAAGCCTCTGTGGCCCAGTCCTGCTGCGCTTCTTCCTGCGGCCTTAGGCGAGACTTACTCAAAATCACAGTCATTGGCCTTTGGAATAACGATTTAACGATTGCACGTATTTCAGTGGTTGAGTGGGGCAAACCCTAATTTTGAGTGATGCCCAGCTGGTTTCCATCCCCACCGTATGCCGAAGACTGGCCACTCAATGCCTTCTCGTTTGGTCCTTGAGGCTTGAGGGTTCCTCATGGGAGTACTGTGACATGGAGATTACAATTACATGAGAATTGTAGGTGTCACTTGGCGATCATGTTGATAAACTCCTACTAGTAGGTAGCTTCTAATTACGTGTTGGCTTCTGTTCTTGCTTCTTGCTGCTTGCATAGCTGCTTCGGATCTTTGGGTGTCTCTTTCTGCAAGACTTGTTGTAGAAGTATCCAATGCCTGTTTGCGCCTGCCCTCGGCCCACGCCCGCTGCGCCAAGGAAAATGATCTAGCCCAACCCAACCCTTGACAGTCCTCCCCTAAGCACCTGGGAGGTCCGAGGACCGGATGATTCAATGATGCCGATGATGGCGCTGGCCATTCTGCATAGGGGGCTTGGGAAGCCGCATGCAAGTTGAAACTGAGATCGGGCGCATTATTCGTTCAGAGATGGGTAAGTCATGCTCGGGCCTGGAATTATTTTTTGGGAGCTGGAGTGGATTGGGGCTTAGCGGGCAAGATCAGTGTGCTGCAAAACTTCTGGCGTAAATCAGGCAACTGCCGTAAAGCTTTGCAATCCCTTTCCATGTGAGTATCTAGATCCCGAGACGACTTAAGCATGCATCGACCAAGGGATGGTCTCTGCCTGGGGTGTAATTTGGGGAAGACTACAGTTAAGGAAAACGGAAGAAAGTACACTTTCTGGAATCTCTTATGGAGGAAGGGCCGTAGCTGGTGTGGTTGTCCGCAGCCCCCATCTTGGACGGGAATGACACACAGCCTTGCTTATTAGCCCTGGTTGAGGTAGAGGGGTCCCTCTGGTGCAAATTCTATGGTGACAATGCTACCACTCTTTGATTTCTTAAAAAGAGGGGTACCTTTAGGGACCCCAGGCAAACAAAGAGACTGTACTGGGATTCTGGGATCTCTACTGACAGGCATTGTGCGAAAACTAGTTGCGACATAGTCACATCGCTGATCTTATTGAGCCGCATAACAGCAAGATCATGCCTTTGCTTATTTCCCAACCATTGTCGTTGCGGATGAATCGTCAGACTCCTCTTTGCCAAGCTACTCGGGCATGGCCCAATTCAAAGTCTCCTCCGGCATCATCGTGCCGTCGGCCTCCGGCTCGTGGCATGATGCATGCAGTGGGAAACTGGAGATAAGGGAAAACCATATCAATGAGCTGCCTCCTTATTCCAAACGCCCAGTTTAAACCATGGTATCAGTAGTCAGGAACTCTGTGCTCAACCCCCTCCTGCCTCCATGTTGCAGCAAAGAGTCTCCATGGCGCTGGGGTCCTGCAAGCACCAGATAACTTCGACTTCTTCTCTGCATCCTGCAGTACATGCAAGTCCTCGGGCTCTGAATCATGATCAAGCTGCATCTAGTTGCTTCAGGGAAGGCCAAGCTGAGTGAACAGCCTGTCGAGATTTAAAGTACAGTTTTCAGCAGGGGGCGATTCCAGCTACTACCTGGCAGCACGGTTTTGATGTAGTGCACGGGATCCCCCTGTGAGGGCAGCTACTGTAGGTCCGAAGGTACCATGGGTCTGATATTATTAGCACGCGATAAATCGTCTGGTTTCCCTGCAAACTAATTCATATGCTTTCAGTTGTGGCAGACATGACGTGGGCAACCCTTTCCCCCTTGTTGGAAGAAAATTGCATGACTCAGCTCCACGTGGGCCGGTACAGACTGAAATCAGCAAAAAGCAGTATCCTGTTAGCGCGATGGGGCAATGCACAAAGCTTCGGGCACTTTGCCGGGATAAAGGGGAATGCTGCGTCTGTGCATGCACATGGTTTGACTTTATTGAGAGCAGCTTAGATTCAGTTATGACAATGTCTTACGCTGCTTCTGAAGACAAACTTCTCCTGCGCCCACATAGCGTCTACTTCGCCAGGCCTGTGGACAAAGGACACAACTACATACAGCAACTGCACAGAAGAAGCAACCCCGTCGGCAGAGTGCTCACCAGTCATGTGTCGCCGACTGCTCACATCTTCCCAACATGATTGTTGATGATCTTGCTGAGGAAGCAGCGCTGTTCCATCACCAGCGTCCATGAGGACTGGCACAAGCTTGTGTGCAATGAGTCTGGCGCTAGCACAGGAAGAAATGTTGTCCACATGTATGCCATCAGCTGATTGGTCATGTAGACCAAACGGCATTGCAAATTGCTGCTCTTCCTTCTCTGAACATGTTCTTGAGTATCTATCTAACAAGGTACAATGAAGTCACTATGAGCCATGCGCTTGGGCAAGAACCTTGTCCATCCATTGCTACCATTTCACACCTCAGCCAGCGCTAGGAGTAGCTGGCATGCTACCCTTTCGAGCATGCAACGATGCAAGGCGCAGATCTGAGGCGCAAGCTGCGCCATGTCGTCGCCCATATGAGCCTTCAACAAACCCACAGCATTGCCAGGCTTCAGAGCTCGCGTGGTCTGAATGAAGTACATGCAACAGGCTACATTTTGCGCAAATTGCATAGATAAGGGGTCCTTGTTTGGCTTGGGGGTTGGGGAGTGAGAGGACATCATCACTCCGTCCATGTCGGCGCATCGTCCTCAGGAGTTACAACCTCTCATGACTAGGTCCACAACATCACGGTCACGATCCCCGCAATTGTTATCAGTTTTGCCATCAGCTTTAACCGTCCCGTCTGTGTCAGAGGGCCAAAAGGCACAACAATCAGGCCTTTTGCGGGTAACCGTTTCTGGACCGTCTTATCTTCGGCAAGTGTCAAGCCGCGTCAATAATTAGGAGGCATCGGCCGTGTGAGCAGCTACCTAAACTGTTGTTAGTAAACCGCTAAGTGAAAAATCGCTTTAGGGGGGGGCTATCGCTTTACAGCGTCTTTGCACACTGCTGTCATCCATTTCGGGGGTATCGCGCTAAGGGGAGGGGCATATCGCTTTACTAGCGGTTTGCTCATGTCCCCGGATGTTATCTCTGGCCGCGCTTGGCTCCTACACGATAATAAAAACGGTCGCTCATGTGAGGCTTGAATCCTCGCTCTAGTTGTCGCTTTCAGCACTGGTATCTTCGTCGCGCCTCAACAGCGTCAACAATAATTTTCAGTTTGTGCATTCGGGTTCCTAGGCCTATCGGGCTTCTGATTGGGCAGGCAATTTCTGGGACATGGCCTTGCTTCAGAGCACCATGACGTAGTTTGTTTGTAGTTCGCAAAACAACATAGCACACCTGTTAAAATCTACTGATCAAAACCACGTGCCCCGCGTGCGCGTTCCTATGCTGTCTGATCCGGAGGGTCTGGATCGCACACTTTGTTCCGGAGGGTCTGGAACGGTGACTGACTCTTGCTGGTTCCCACAAGTGATACGGGGTGAG